GAATTTGAGTGCAGCCGAGGCGACAAGCGGGGCGCCCTCACCACCATTTGCGGTAGTCGCAGGCTGTTGACCTAGTGTTTGGCCTTGAGCCTGGGGTTGTTTTGCATTGGGTACAGCTGGCACTTGTTCAATTTTCTGTATTTGCAGCACATAGGCTGCGGCAAAGGTGGTCGCCGTCCACGAGAGCTCTAGCGCATGGGTCGATGCTCGAACTAGCGCCACTTTCACCGCATAGAGTGGCTTGGTTACCTCCAGGTACCACAAATCCTTACAACAAACCTATGTAGGAAGACAAAGATTATAAAATTGTACTTTTTATACCCTGAACTCATTTTCAATTGGAAATCAGGGTATATTGGTTTTGTTAAAAATGTGTAACAGGGAGAAGGATCAGGGTGACAAGCTGAGTCGATTTAGCCCTGTCCGTCCGTCCGTCCGTACATATGAACGCATCGATCTCAGAAGATATTAGAGCTAGAGATTTGAAATTTGTTCCCCAAAAGTCGATAACAACTCCCGATATTTTGTTATCGAATAAAAAGCTTATCGAAAATAAGTTTTTCAATTATATTTCCTACACCTTTAGAGCTAGAGTCTCCAAATTTTAAATGTAGATTTATATGTATTTTATAGAACTTTGATTTTTGTTATATTTTACCCCTACCCCACTATCCAACCCTCGCCAAAATATTTGTGAAATGCGTATTTGAAATACTAGAGATTTGTGCTTTGGCAAATGCATGCATTCTAGTATATAACAATCTGAAAGTTTCATTCATAAGAAAAGTTATTTAACAACTAGGTCCCCGTAGCAGCCAATGCATGTTTATGCGCGCATGCACATGTGGTCTGTGAGTGTGTCAAGAATTGTTGAAATTGTTGTTGTTCCTCGAAGGGTTCAGGGGATCTCTAAGTCGAGCAGTGTCGACTAGAGCTTTCTTACGTGTTCTATTAGTAATCTTTAAAATACAGTCTATGACTACAGTGGTAACAGATAATCTCTCACCCTAACCTGGTTGTTCCATGCTTTGCGGTAACCGTCTCGACCCGACCACACGTACAGACGACTTTGGATGCCAACTGCACAGTGTCCAGCTCGAGCTCTGGGAACGTTTTCCTCAACAGTATCCAAGGTGACATTCTCCCAAATCATTGTGTCTGCATAAGGAAAAGAGAGGATGAAGTTCAATAGATATTCTTTTAGTATCGATCATTTTTTGATCTACCTAAATCGAGCACAGCTAGTGTATTTGTGCACTTCCATTCCCGTTCTGTGGTCGCTTTGGAATCGTTGATCACCAATGGAACCCAGCCTCCAAAAACATACATCTTATTTGCAATCATTGTGGAACTGTGCAGAGAACGCGGCAACGGAGCTTGGCCTCGGGTGCGTGGTTTTTCCCAAGTCATAGATTCTGCAATTATACGGTGTCACACAACTATCGATGAAGGCGAAAAGTGCGTACCTGTATCCAGAAGCCATAAGTCACCCAACCGACAGCCACTCATGCCACCATATATAAGTAAACTTAATTTACCAGTTTGCTTGCTCGTAAATGATATTCCAGTGTGTGACTCGCGAGGCGGAGGACTGTCACCAAATGTCTTTGGAATGATCCACTTTCCATTGTGACTGTGCACGCCGCGAGTGTCCAATATATACAAGTCATTTAGATACCTATTTGCAAATAGATAATATAGATATGTAATTGAGTCTAGCTCGAAGCAATCGATCTATATGCGTCTGTAATGGAAGCCCATACGAACAAGTTTTACAGGTAGCAGCAGAGTGAACAAAACTCTTATACTCAGCTCTTACAGTTTTAGCTATTCAGTCTAGAGACAAGAGAGACACCCGCTAATACATTTCCAATTCCGAAAAGATCTTGAGTTCTGCATAGCAGAAGATTTGACACTCAGAGCAATAACAATATACATGCAATACTGTCAGCTGAGAGCATTGCAAAAATGTATTTATTCTACCTACTTTGGTATATTGTTTTTAGGGTCATCCGATTCATTAGCCAGTCCGCCAAAGAGAAATATTTTCTCGCCAACCATAGTGAAGCTGTGGCCGAGTCGGGGACACGGTGACATTCCATTATCTGGCGATTCTGGATACATTTTCCTCCACTCCCATTTCGTGGCCTGCAACTCGTAGAGCTCATTTGAATATTTCCCATATTCGATCATGCCGCCAAAGACAAACATGCGCGTTCCCTCAACAACAAATCCGTATGCAGCGCATCCATTGGGTACATCTCCTTTCAACACGGGCACATACCATTGATTGGTCACTAAAATGATGGAAGAAATATTACTACTAAACCCAATCCTATCTTATTCATATATATTCGAGCAGCATTACATTTAAGCAGAAGTTCTCTCATCGAATGCCTTTTATTATCGATCTATGAAATAATATAATACTCTACTAATTTAATATTTAATTTGTATTTTAACGCAAAACATAAATATATAGGGACTAACGCTAGATATTCTATCGCTAGGTGCTGCTCGGTTAGTGATAAAACAATAGTAAATGTCTTTAAATAAGCTGATGCGAAGACCATGACCAAAGGCACATTGGTTATCATACCAGTGACTCTAACAATATATTGGAATTCAATGAAATGGGCGTTTATTTGAATCTCGATCAGTAAATAAAATGTTTTAATTATTAGGCAATTTTTATTTAAAGATGACATTAATATACATATCAAATAATATTTGATTTTTAAATTTAAATATATAATCTATATAATAATATGTATAAAATAAATAAATACCTGTATTGTAAACATGGAGTTCGTCAACGATTCCTTCGTTTCCGCCTCCAAAAACAACCATAAGCTCTTTAATATTTATGGCCCGGTGCCCATGTCGTGGACGAGGTTGAGGACCTGTTGGATTAAGGACGCGCTTCCATCGAAACCCACCCGATGAGTTGTTGGCCAAATTGTGGTTGGTTGCGTCTTCCGTCTGATATGGATCCAAGTCCATGTCGACGCGTGCCAAACAATTGCCGCCAGATGATTCTTGTGTGTTAGCAGAGCGTATCATCTGCTCTGAATTGAGTGCATCGGCCACAGCATTTGCTCCAGCAAATTCTGTGCTATTCATTTTAAAGATCTCTATATATGGATATGCTTATCCACTTATCGGAGTGAATGCTTGAAATGTTTATATTCAGTAAGCAACCTTAGCCAAACCAATACATGAATGCATATTTTCTTGTAGAGTCTGTAAAAATACAAATATATTTATATTCTGATGTACATTTGAGAAGCACAGAATTACTTTTCATGGGTACTGTATATGTACATGTATGCTCGCAAATTTATATTGACCTGGCAATGCCGTCAATGGACGCTTACAAATTTATCAATTTTTAGCACCATTTTATCAAACATATTAAATAATTAAATTAACGTATATTTTCACCATGTACGCTTACCAATTAGATAACTGTTAAGTCCTTGGTAACATAAACAAATCAATGGTTTATATATAAAACAATCTAATACACAATGTGCAAAAAAAGCCGAAGAAAACGACAGCGACGCACACATAGGAAATTCTCACAAGAAGGGGACCCAACCAGATCAGCATACCATAATCAGAGTTGCAATTATTGCACTTTCAATTCAGATATCGATATATCGATGTTTCCAAAAGAGTACAAATAAAATAGATTGAAATCAAATTGAATATTCAATTAAATCGTATACTGCGTAAAACATATTAAGCTTTGAAGCCGTAAACTAGACATCTACATATATTATTATAAGTACATTATTATTATTATCATTGCCTTAGAAGAGAAACCGTTTTTTACAAAAAATTGATTACAATTAATTATAATTCGATCATTTTTCTGCCTAATTGGTTTTCATCACTAACCATGGATAGTAATATCACTGACCAAAGTGGTAATATATAGTGGTACCACTAAATAGAGCTGGAGAGCCATCTATAGAACCATCGCTAGCATCGATGGAAATTTCCCGATGGTCGATATATCGACAATTTAATCTTGTCTTCTTACTTTATTTGTATTTATATTTTCAAAATAACTATTGCAATTCAACATTGTAGCGAACCAAAGCATCTATTTCCTCTATACAATAGTCTGATTTTAATATATTCTATGTTTTTCTAAAAATACATAGATTTTCTTTACGGCGATCGCAAGCGACAAAAAAATGCGTGAGTCCACCCATTTGTAAAAAAATGTTGCAAAACCGCCGATCATCACCGACCACAGAGCTTGTTTAAAAAAAAAAAAAAAAAAAAATGTTAACCAACTCATTTTACTAAACAAAAATCAATGGATGGATAATGAAGCTTATCAAGAAAGTTAAGCATTATTATAAGTAGGAATTAAAAGTGTTATATATTTTTAAGAAAACGACTACACAGGTTTACCATACAAAGTATGTGAATATGTATTTAATTTGCAATATATTTGCAATATAATATAGCAAAAAGTTTCGATGGAATATCGATGGCTTAAGCCATCGAATACCACTAATCACTGCTACTAATAATGTAGCTGTTACAGCTGACAGCAAAAAAATACCAGAATTCTTTTGGTTGCAGTTTTTTTTATACACATCTCATAACTGAGGATAGTCTAAAAATATGCACCGTGTAAGGATATCGATACTACGCTACTTTTTGTCAGAATGTCACGAAAGTGTTAAATAGTTTATATTTATCAAAATACAAAGGACTAGCTGTTTTTGCAATTGAGTTTTAAGTAACTTTAACTCCGGCGGGTAAGACAACCAAATTCGGATTAGCTGGACATTATTCATATATATTAGGCAAACATAAAATCAATCTAAATTTTAATGGGAAAAGCAGAAAGAAAACACCCTCAAAAATTTGTAGAAAAGTGGAAATTTACTGTTATCGATAACAATAATATTGGTCATCAAAATATATTTTGCTGATGCCACAAAGTATGCAATAATTAATAAAGCTCGATTAAACAGATTTAACAAAAGTTCAAAAAGTTAAAAGTTAAATTATGTGGAAGGCATAGGACTAAAATTTTTAACTAGACGAGAAGTGTGAAATACATTTGATCATTATTTCTGTTGTTTTTCCGGCATAAACTCAAAGCGATTTTCTCGGTATGCGCCAAATTTTTAAAAACAATAAATTACTCAAAATTTTAGCTAACGCGAATGCATTCTAGTGTTTACCTAATTAATTAAAGCCATTAAGAAATCCCTTGATATTCAAATATTAATTTTATGTATTGGCTAACTATATAAGTAAATTATTACGTAATGCTTTGGTTGGAACTTCTTGGAGTCCATAATCGAATTTTCCATTTATAAAATTGAAATATGTTACTATAAAATGATTTAATTATTTATAAGTGCAATAAATAATGATCTGAGAAAGAAGCCTTAAAGAGAAAAGAAAATATCATAGCCAGTTATATGTAGGTGGATAGCAGCCGCAAGTATGAAATACAATTCATCAATGGATGCGCAGATCTCAGTAGATTATACGCATTGTTTAACACGATATTGGGTGAGCTTATCACTCAGGTAGAAGTAACGCCGCAGTGCTAACGTAATCAAGTCAAACATACGGCTGATAACTTCAGAGCTCCGATAAGCAGGACAAATATATATCTCGCTCGACTACCTGTTCTTTTACTACAGATATTTGTGCATGTATGTATATGTCTGTATGTGTACACACAGATACGCACAGCGCAAAAGAGAAACACTTTGAAAGGCTATAAATAGAACGCCAATGAGCAAATCACAGTATTCCGATTTAGTTAGTTAGAGCACGATATTTTATTTCTGAATTTTCCCCGAGTCTTTGCCTCTTCAGGTAAAACAAGTGTAAGCCTTGTTTACGCTATTTTAGAGTTTATTTAATATATTTAGTGAATTTTTCTGTGAAATGTATATATATATATATATATATCTACTGATACATAAAATTTAAAATCGACAACTAATTAGTATCATATTTTTGGTTTTTTAATAATAACTTCCCATGTCCATATCAATATAATAATTTAAAAATATAGGTCTCGCGTATCTTTATGTTGTAGAAATGTTACTAAAATACCGTGCAAACTGAGAAGAAACAGTAATCGCCTTTAAAATATTTGTTCGATAAATATGTCTTCGATTAATGGTGAATTTTTCGCTTGAACAGTCTGGTCATACTGCTGAATTCTGTATACCATACGAGTTGTCCGTTGTGTTGGCAAGAAATACAAACAGAATTTTTGGTAATGAGTGTATTCCTTAATTTGTTGCGAAAGGACATACGCATGCAACATATAAAGATAAAAAACAAATATGAAGCGATAAATAAAAATTATATTTACTCTATTTTATTGTGCGGTCTGTCCATCAGCAGAGTTAATAACTTGTGTTTAAATCGCGTGGCAACACCCATTAAACGTTTAGTATTAAAGCATAATTGTAATTTAGTTAATTATATTGTTCCACGTGTTTAGTGGAAAATGAACAGTATAAATATGTTTACGTATAAATAAACATTTATGAATACATATGTATTTGGTTACATACACATGTACACCTATAAAAATTGCGTGTGTACATATCTAAATATGTATAAGTGGAATAAGTGATATCATCCCGAGGCCTGAGACTGCCGTTATCCACCAGCTGCTTCAGTTGCCCTTTTTGTAGGGTTTTGTCGCAGAATAAAACAACAAAATCAATAAAGTAAAATGTATATATATATATATATTCATCGTCGTGTCTCCACTTGCAACTGACTCTGATTTTGGAAGCCACAGAGAGATTATGAATATATATGCATGAAAACATACATGTGTACCTTAAATCTGTGTTGTGTGCTGTTCTATATGACGTAATTTATGCTCCTAGCTGGTGTTTTGTAAAGTGGTGGTGAGGCAGGAATGTGTGTGTTTATGTATGTCTCCAAATGTATACAAACTCGATCGGAGCAAACTTAACACACTTTAAGGCATTATCAATTTTGACCTAGAAAATGGTTTACTTCTAGTGTCTGTGCGTATACGCGCAGGTCCACATTTGTGTAGCATATACATATATATAAATATGCATGTACCAGGCAAGAGTTTCTCACTCGTTCGCTCTCTCACACATAATTATGATTCTGTGGGCGTGTGTACGAAACAGAATTTCACCCAGGTTCCGTTAAATATACCTTAAACACGAAAGGCATTAGCATAGCATATGAGCATACCTCCGCGTATAGCTAATTGAATTTTTTTTCCCTTGCTAATTTTCATACGTACATATTAAATCTTGAGTCCATCTATATACACACACGTACTATTATATACAAGAGCATTTGTATGCATGTATAAAATAATAAATGGATCCGTACGAAATTTGCACGAATTACAAATTTAAACCTTTAATTTATTATCGATTTTTTCGTTTGCTTCTGCATACATTTTTTTTATGGTTTTAATAAAATGTATGTATAAAACACAACTCAAATGTTAAAAAAATAAATCTATGGAGATTTCGAAAGTCATCTACTACAATGTTGTCATTAGAAATTTATAAACAGCGAACTAAATACACATTAAACAAAAAAGGGAATACGCTTATCGACTATATACAAATTATATCCATTTTATATAATATATCATTTGTTCCCGATCTCAAAAGATATTAGGCAGTAGCTTAATGGTCAAATGAAAAGGTACATATTTTGCCAATCCCGAAAGAATCTTATATAGGTAATTAACTAGAGAATCTCAAAAATGTTAGGCATTCTGCATTCAACAGTGTTGCAGTGGTGCTATACACAAAACCGGTTTGGTCTTTATGCTAGGTGAAGCAGAATCTTTTATTTTATTTCTTGAGTACAGAATTTTTATAAAGAATTATATTCTATATGAGCAATTCTCTAGTGTCGAACGCGAAATTTTTTCCTGCATACTTGTTTTTTTTTTTCTTTCTTTTTTTTATGTAATTGTACATGATAAAAAGCATTAGAAATTATGTTGAATTATATACATAAAACATATTAAATTTATTAATTATAATATGTAACAGATAAAAACAAAGTAGCATATTTCATTGCAGAGTGTCCCTCTTGAAGAACAGTAATAAGAACAAAATGTGCAATAGAAATGCTCAAAACAGAACTTTTGCACTTGTTCGGCTGTGTGTGTATATTTCGAGGTGTGGTATGAATAAGTGTAAAATGAGCTTATATTATTTATATTTAATAGATTCATTCGGTTTAAAAAATATGTTAGCAGAACATGTTCTCATTGACTTTAAATTGTTTGCTGTGGTTGATCTTTCGGGAGAAATGCCCATATGTTATTTAATTTGTAGAGCCTAGTCTAATAAATTGTCTGATTCATAGAGTCATGCTAAAGATTCAACATCGTGATGTCATAATCAAATTGTATAAGTATTAGTGAAACTTAACTGTCGTCATGATCAGGTCACGATTATTGGCATGGGACGCAACATTAGATACAAGTTTGTATCCTACAATCTTAGAAATTGTTTACAATATTTACAGATATCAGATAATACAAAATTGAACAAGTAAGAAAGCTCTAGTCGAAACTGCCCGACTACGAGATCCCCTGAACTTTTCGAGCAACTGATATTTTAATAACAATTCGCATATGCACACACACACACAGACATACGTACGCACGCATTGACTGCAGTGGTGGCTTACTATGGAAACTTAATTGCTTAATAACTTTTCTTGTGGATGGACTATCTTCATAAAACTTTCAGATTATGAATATAATATGTATTTGCCAAAGCAAAAGTCTCTAGTATTTGAAATACGCCCTTTACAAAGGTAGGGGTGAGGGGGTGAATATAGCGGTGGGGGGTACATTTTTCGATAGTGATTTTAATCGATAACAAAATAACGGGGCAAATTATCGATTTTTAAAGCAAAACTCAATATGCGCGTGGTACACACGGACCTAGGAAAAAAAGTTAAGTCTATCTCTTATATCTTTTGAGATCGACAGACGGACAGAGCACAGTCAACTCAGCTCGTCCGTCGTCAAGAATATATATACCTTATGGGATCTGCCACGCCTCTGCCTACTACATACATTTCAACAAAACCAACTTACCCTGATTTCCCATTTTCAATGGGTTCCGTGTATAAAAATATCAGCAGCAATGCGGTCAAAAGCTAGTTAAATCCACTTTCGGACGGAAAGGGTTTACGTCATCACCTTTTTGAAAGACGTCATTGCATACCTTGCTTCGTTAAAGACTTATCTTGACTACACACACTACACACATCACCTTTATATATATGTACTGTAATGTCTGCCCCAATTATGGATAGTCAGGTTATTAGAATCTTTACAATCTATACTTAAATATAAAACAAGTAAGAAGGCTCTAGTCGAGACTGCTCGACTAGGAGATACCCTAAACCCTCTAAGCTGATATTCTTTTGTGCAATGTCCGTCTTGCTGTCCGTCCGTCTGCCCGTATGAACGCAATCTATTTCGGCGATATTGAAGCTAGAGACTTGAAATTTGGAGCACATACTCGTCAAGTCCAACGAGCTATGGTAGATATATGTCCGCCCATAGGAGGCGTGGCAAACCGTAAAAAGTTTATATCTCCTACAGTTGAAGAGCTAGAAGCTTCAAATTTGGATAGTTGAGTTACTGGTAGCCTCCTCTATCGATGCCCCAAAAATATTTTTACGCCTCTTTAAAGGCGTGGCATATCGAAAAATACACTGTAATTTTCACATTTTTGCATTTTGCATTTAGGTTACCGGTTGCTCGTTCTAAGAACTGGCAAAAAATGGGAAGTCTACTGCCACTAGGGGCGTGGCAATCGGTATTTATAGTGCCCGAATTGCGGTATCTATTTATCTATTTATGTATTTGCACATATAAATAAGCTTAATAGCCATTCATAGTACGAAAAGAAACATTTTTATGAAATTTAAATCATATAAAAGAAGCTAAAATAACCAAAATTTGAAATTTGAAGAGTTTGAACTCGCACTCAAGCTGAATGGCATGTTCATGTCAAAATAACTTAAATAAAGATCGCCGGCGACTCTGCCTACAGCACCACCGCGTTATCTCAAACAACATTAATTAAAACGAAATCACATCATTGTTATGACGCCATATAGCAAAGAAAAGCCAGTGTAGGCTGGAAACTCAAAAACAATGCAAAGACATCAATCGCAACAGAGATTCTTAGAATATGCTAGATAGGTGATAGATACTAGAATATGTGTACATACATACACACACACACATAAAAATGAGTGCGTGTATAAGGCTGGAATGCTTGATGCTATGCGTGCAGACTTATATATATATTTGCATATAGACATATGTAGGGTGATCATCTTATCATTATATTTAATTGTTATTATATTCATGAATGCCTGACTTATACTTCTCCACACTGCCTATTTTTCCGAACATACATATGTACGTAACATTTCATCAATATTTAATGTTATGTTCACAAAATTAAGTTGAACTATATGGTGACAATTGAATTCTATACAAGATTTGCAAATATAATATGTACATTCATCTATATCTATAGCTATTCACTTTTGTGCAATTTGTCAATGCAAATTTTCGTCGTTTTTTAAGTTAGAAACATGAAATTTGGAATAACACCCACGCATAAACACGCATGGGCTGCAGTGTGCGCTGACTATGAGAACTTAATTGTTTAATAACTTTTTTTGTGGACAGACGATCTTCATTAAACAAATCGTAATTATAACCATAATATGCGTACACTTGCCAAAGCACAAGTCACTTTTACTTGAAATACGCCTTTTACAAGTTGAGGGTGAAGGGTTGGATATAGGAGTGGAGGTTTAATTTTTTTAACAAAATCGAAATTGTATAAAATGCATCTAAATCTATATTTACATTTTGGAGGCTCTAACTCTAAAAATGTAGGAGATATAATTTTAAAAATGATTTCCGATAAGGGTTTTTATCGATAACAAAATAACGGGATGAGTTATTGATTTGGTGATACAAAATTTGAAGTCTCTAGCTCTTATATCTTCTGAAATCGACACGCTCGCACATACGGACACACGAACGGACAGGGCCAAATCGACTAATCTCGTCGCCCTGATCAGGAATATATATACTTTGTGGGGTTTGCCACGCCTCCTCCTACATACATTTAAACAAAACCAATTTACCCTGATTTCCCATTTTCAATGAGTTCACGGTATACAAATTTGGCGGATATATTTACGCCCATTAGGTAAATGGCAAATCGGAAAAAGCTTTGTATTTTGTACAGTTGTATGTACTACTGATCCTCTATGTATAAATAGAATCGACTGTGTTTTCCGTTGAAAGAATATTCTGCGGTCGAAAACGCCCGACCGCAATGTTCTTATGTTCTTGTTTTTCGTTACTTTGCTCTGCATTTTGCCCAGGCGCAATTTTGTTTTATTTTCAAAATACGGATGCTGTACGAATGTGTATAAAAAATTCTGAATTTAAACAGTTGCTCGTGGATTTTTACGAACCCGTGTGTGCTTGCGCACATGTGGTCGTGTGTATGCGTATATCATACAAAGCCTAAACAACAAAATCTAATTATATTCAAATAGATATAGGCGGAGACATGTCCACTGATAATGGAAAATTGGAATTGTTATCCTCTTTTTCTCTTACTGGTTCTTCCTCTTCCTCTTACATCAGATGTTCTCTCTCCCTCTCGCTTTCCCTCTCCCTCTCTCTCTCTCTCGCTTTCCCTCTCCCTCTCTCTCTCTCTCTTTCTCCCCCTCTCAATTGCCCTCTTTGGATTGCGAATGGCGATAATTATAACTATTTTATACATAGTATATATAATAAAGTATTTTAGAAAAAGGACCTTTTTCTAAAGTAAACTTGAATTTCAGAATGTTGCTAAGACATGAACGTAAACGTAACGTAAAATTGTTGTTCATCTTTTGCAAACTTTTTAATAGTTAATGGTGCTTTGTCGGGTCTTAGAGACCCGCATCCGCAGAAAAAAAGGAATTATTTTCAATTCTTTTAGTGTCCTCCCACGTGGAGATGTTTCGAATTATAGTGTGAATTGGTTGGGATCCAAGGAATATCTTAGCTTGACTAAGTACATATTCAAAAGCATATGTGCTTAAGAACCGGAGAAATGGTTTGTGTTTATACAAACAGATGGAAATACGGATACCAAGGCGGACAGTTCACAAATACACCAAACTTTCCATTTTATAAACGGCTTTACAAAATTATTTTATAAAATTTTGAAATAGCTATACACACATATTTTTAATTTGCTGATTAATTTAATTTAAATCACAAAAAAAAATTTTTGTCATAGATATTATAACCAATGGCAACAATCGATGGAAGACCGGCGCAATATGGGATATCACTTAAGCAATTACGGGAACTCATGGAGCATCGAGGAAGGGAAGGTGTAACTAAAATCAGTGAGCTCGGTGGCATTCATGAGTTATGCAAAAAGTTGTACACATCCCCAAATGAAGGTAAATCCAAATTAAACAAGTAAGAAAGCTCTAGTCGAGACTGCTCGACCCTGAACCCTTCGAGAAACTGATATTTTAATAATTCTTTGCGTCTTTCTGCTTACACAAGAAATACACACTCAAAAACACATACATATATGCACGCACGCATAAACACGCATGGGCTGCAGTGTGGGCTTACTATGGGAACTTAATTATTTAATAACTTTTCTTGTAGATGTACTTTCTAGTATTGAAATGTGTGCATGTACCAAAGCAATTCTCTGAATTGAATTGAATTTTTATACACCTTTTACAATTATAGTGGTGAGGTGGTGGATATAGGGGTGGAGGGAGATTATAACAAAAATCGAAATTCTATAAAGTACATATAAATTTATAAAATTTGGTGACTCTATCTCTAAAGATGTTGGAAATATAATTAAATAGCTTATATGCGATAATATTTTTAATCGACAAAAAATAACGGGAAGAGTTATCAATTTCTGGGGTTAAACTCGATATCCGCGATATATATACGGACATTTACAAAATTCTCTTTTATCTTCTGAGATCGACGCGTTCAAGCTTACGGACAGACGGACAGAGCTAAATCGTCTCAGCTCGTCGCCCTGATCAAGAATATACTTACTTACTTACTTTGTAGGGTCTACCACGCCTCCTTCTGTCTGTTACATACATTTCAAAAACCATTATACCCTGATTTCCCATTTTCAATGAGTTCCGGGTTTAACAATAAATTAAAGCTTTATACTAATATTTCACTAAAACTGGGTTTCTTTCCAGGCCTTAGTGGGTCAAAAGCTGATGAGGAGCACAGACGTGAAACGTTTGGCTCAAACGTAATACCACCGAAACCCCCTAAAACATTTTTAACGCTAGTCTGGGAGGCGCTTCAAGATGTTACACTTATAATATTAGAGGTAGCTGCGTTAGTATCACTTGGTCTGTCATTTTACAAGCCTGCAGATGAGGATGCTCGTGAGTCTAAAATATTTACTGATTTAATTCTTAAAATATATACATCTATATATATATTCCATTTAATCACAGCTTTGCTCCAAGAAGAAGATGAACATCACGGTTGGATAGAGGGTCTGGCTATACTAATTTCGGTCATTGTTGTAGTGATAGTGACTGCTTTTAATGATTATTCAAAGGAGCGACAATTTCGAGGCCTCCAGAGCCGAATTGAGGGCGAGCACAAATTTTCAGTTATTCGAGGTGGCGAGGTATGCCAAATATCGGTTGGAGATATCCTTGTTGGTGATATTGCACAAATCAAATATGGCGATCTTTTACCAGCTGATGGATGTCTTATACAGAGCAATGATCTAAAGGTATTAATAAATAGAAAACCAGTTGTCTTTTTTACATAAATACCAAATATTTATACATCTAATTTAGGTGGACGAATCTTCACTGACTGGTGAGTCAGATCATGTCAAAAAGGGCCCGGATACCGACCCGATGGTTTTATCTGGTACCCATGTCATGGAGGGAAGTGGCAAAATGGTTGTAACAGCCGTTGGAGTCAACTCACAGGCAGGCATCATTTTCACATTGCTTGGAGCTGCTGTGGATGAGCAGGAAGCCGAAATTAAAAAGATGAAGAAAGGTATGTAGATGATTGCATTTATATAGCAACACGTAAAATAAAAAATAAAAATAACGCTATTAATGAAAGAGGGGCGAAAACGAATCTAAACTAGTCTATCTGCCAATATACAAACAAGATAAATATTTAAATATATATATGTCGTATCGCTATAATGTAATTACAAAGAGAAGTGTAAATCTCAGTATGGCTGTGTCGTCTCGGTGTGATTCCGAGTGAGTTAGCTTTTAGTCGAGACTCGACTGTATATATATATATATATATATATGTCTGTGTTTGTGTGTTTATATAATTTTTTCTGTAATGTTTATATTAAAAAACTGATAAACTTTAATTTAATATCGTTTATTTTTTATTTTTATTTTTTCATATTCCAAAAATCATACGTGAATTGCATGATGTGAATTGATTGACCCATCTTTGAACTCCTTCATCTACCTAAATATAAAATAAACCAATCAATCAACCAACCAACCAACCAACCAACCAACCAACCAACCAACCAACCAATCAACCAATCAACCAAACACCATCAACAAACACCAATATATAAATAATTTTAAAAATTTTAATGCTTTAACATAAAATGTTAATGGACCAAACCCAACGAATCGACAAACAACAAAATATTACATTTCCATAATTCAGAAGCTAAAAAGGCCAATAAACAAAAGACCAAAAGCCAGACAGGTGAATTAATTACTTACCTTGTGTCTAGTTAGCTTCAGTTTTGTCTGAAACTAATACTCGTATATTGACGTTTTTACTTACAATTTTACTTTTATATAAGACTCGTATAAATCAACCATCTAAACTGAATCAAACATGATTTTGCTATACGAAGTTATTTTTCAAAGAATTATTTGAAATGTTTTTTATTACTATATAGTGTGGAAAAATTAATAGCACTACTATAGGAGACGATAATGTAATATAATGGTGTTATATCCTCTCCTCAATAATAATTATAGGATTTGCAAGAGTATATTCAAATTAAGACGAGTACATTCCAAATGAAATAAAAGGAGGTAATTTTAATATATTTAATATTAATATTTTATTGCGGGTCATGCAGGTGAGAGTGATGGACGTCCGCCAATGAAAGAATCATCTCATGCCGTCGCTTCAACCCAGTATGCCAGTGAAGCCATCAAATCGGAATCGGATGGAAATCATGTGCAGCCCTCTACGACTTCAGCTGCTGAAACTGGACACAAGAAGGAAAAATCAGTGCTGCAGGCTAAATTAACGAAATTAGCAATACAAATTGGTTACGCTGGTTCCACGATTGCCGTGCTCACTGTTATCATACTGATTATACAGTTTTGCGTTAAGACGTTTGTCATCGATGAGAAACCATGGAAAAACACCTATGCTAATAATCTCGTTAAGCACTTGATTATCGGTGTCACAGTATTAGTTGTTGCTGTCCCTGAAGGGCTTCCACTGGCCGTAACGCTGTCTTTGGCGTATTCGGTGAAGGTAAGTGAATTATATATTATATATACATATATATATATATATATGTGTGTGTGTTCGATATGTTTCTGATGGAAATTGTCATTGCCCCCTCTACCGACCAGAAAATGATGAAGGATAATAACTTGGTGCGTCATTTGGATGCCTGTGAGACAATGGGCAACGCAACGGCTATATGCTCCGACAAGACGGGCACGTTAACAACAAATCGTATGACTGTTGTTCAATCCTACATTTGTGAAAAACTTTGCAAGGTGCTCCCAACGCTGGCGGACATACCACAGCATGTCGGGAATCTAATCACTATGGGAATATCTGTCAACTCCGCTTATACCTCGAACATAATGGTAAAATATATAATATACTCGAATATACTTGAACTACGTACATTATATGTACACGAGTATACATGTAAAATTTTAAGTCTCCAGCTCTTATGTTTTTGAAATCTCCCTATATATGAGCTAGCCATATACTCAGATCTATATACATCTATATACAGATCTTTTGAGATCTGAGTATATATATATATCCATAAAAATAAAAATTATTAATTGTAAATACATATATATATTTTGCTATTTTTATCATTATAATTCTGGCAGCCTGGACAAAATCCAACCGACTTACCTATTCAAGTAGGAAACAAGACAGAATGCGCCCTACTTGGGTTTGTTCAGGCTCTTGGAGTTAAATATCAATCTATACGCGATGAAATACCTGAGGATAAATTTACACGGGTTTACACCTTCAACTCTGTACGAAAAAGCATGGGTACAGTAATACCACGACCCAACGGCGGCTATCGCTTATATACCAAGGGTGCTTCGGAGATCATCATGAAGAAGTTAGTCCAATAGTTCCAATGCATTTTAATTAATATGACATATGACTTATATTTTGTACTAATTATTGCAGATGCGCCTTTATCTATGGTCATGAGGGAACATTGGAAAAGTTCACACGAGACATGCAGGAGCGTTTAATTCGAGAAGTAATTGAACCGATGGCTTGTGATGGTTTACGTACTATATCTGTTGCCTATCGCGATTTTGTGCCCGGCAAAGCCGCAATCAATGAGGTGCACATCGATACAGAACCCAATTGGGATGATGAGGAAAACATTATGTCGAATTTGACCTGCCTGTGTGTTGTGGGTATTGAGGATCCTGTCCGTCCCGAGGTACCAGATGCTATAAAAAAATGCCAAAGAGCTGGCATTACGGTGCGCATGGTTACGGGTGATAATATAAACACGGCACGTTCCATTGCCAGTAAATGTGGCATATTACGACCCAATGACGACTTTCTTATTCTGGAGGGTAAAGAGTTTAATAGACGCATTCGTGACAGCAATGGTGATGTAAGTCTAATAAAACTATATGTACCTTAATGCACTTTAAAATATATTTATTTACACACATTATTTACACAGATCCAACAGCATCTCATTGACAAGGTTTGGCCGAAACTCCGGGTACTTGCACGTTCATCGCCCACAGATAAATATACGTTGGTAAAAGGTAATCAGCAAAAGTTGATTTTGTAAACAAATTCATTTTTTATTCAACGGCTTTTATTGTTTGTATGTAGGAATGATCGACAGTACCGTGACCGACAATCGGGAAGTTGTTGCTGTTACAGGCGATGGTACGAACGATGGTCCAGCTTTGAAGAAGGCAGATGTTGGCTTTGCAATGGGTATTGCAGGCACAGATGTTGCCAAAGAAGCATCTGATATCATACTCACTGACGATAACTTTAGCAGCATTGTTAAGGCTGTCATGTGGGGTCGTAATGTTTATGATTCAATTGCAAAATTTTTGCAGTTCCAATTGACAGTTAATGTCGTCGCAGTGATTGTAGCATTTATTGGTGCTTGTGCAGTACAGGATTCGCCTCTTAAAGTAAGTCTTTCTATAATTGTTTAGATTAAATCGTTTTTCTTACCACCACTTCATATACAGATATTGATCTTGCATGACTATTATTATACCCCGATCCCATTATTATACCCCATCATCATACTATAATGGTTTTCTTAAATGTATGTAACAGGCAGAAGGAGGCGCGTCACACTCCATATTCTTGATTTGTGTGCATGCGTATGCCTGTGTATGTGCGTGTGTGTGTGCATGCGCGAATAATGGAATATAAATTCGTCCAAGGGTTCAGTGGGTCTTATAGTCGACCAGTCTTGACAAGAGCTTTCTTCCTTATACTATCTGCTACTATTTACTATCTACTTTGGTCTCCAAAGGGAACAAAAAGCTAGAAACTTTAAAGTTGGGCACATGAATCTACTTTATTGATAACTCAAGCCCGCTTAATTATTTGTTTACTTCGATTTTGCTAATTAACAACTAAGTGCCATCTTTATTCGCAGGCAGTACAAATGTTATGGGTAAACCTTATTATGGATACACTCGCATCTCTAGCTTTGGCTACGGAAGTGCCGACGCCTGACCTATTACTGCGTAAACCATATGGACGCACAAAGCCTCTAATATCACGCACAATGATGAAAAACATTTTGGGTCAAGCGCTGTACCAGTTAGTAATCATATTTGGCCTCCTCTTTGTTGGTGAGTATACTTGGCCAAGCGAATCCAATTTCAATTAAGAATCCAATTTCAATTAATCATGTTTTTATAATTTAATAGGTGATTTAATACTTGACATTGAGTCTGGACGTGGACAGGATCTAAACGCTGGACCAACTCAACATTTCACAATAATCTTTAACACTTTTGTCATGATGACCCTTTTCAATGAGATTAATGCCAGAAAAATACACGGCCAGCGTAACGTTGTTGAGGGACTTTTTACCAACCCTATATTTTACACCATCTGGATATTTACAATGATTTCGCAAGTATGTTGAGTCGATTAAGCCATCAGTTCGATCGAATGAGCTCGGCGATTCACTTGGCTTTTTTCTCTGCACTGCACCCTCCAAGTTAGCTTTGGCATACAGATTTGGATGTCCGTAATACGATCTATTGTTTTTACTAAGTGGTCAGGAATTAATTTTAGGACTTGGTTATTTATGCATTACTCAAAAATGTATGTCATTTAACAGCATACATAAGAAACACTACGTGTAATCTCCCTTATATATTCTCTTTAGCTGTCCTACAAGTTAGCTACAATGTTCAATGCCCAAAGGGTACCGTACTAGTCGCGTACTCACGACTAGAACGTTTTTGTCTATGCATTGAAAATGAAAAATCAGGGTATAATGGTTTTGTTAAAAGTATTTAACAGGCAGAAGAAGGCGTGGCAGACCCCACAAAGTATATATATTCTTGATTAGGGCGACGATCTGAGTCGATTTGGCCCTGTCCGTCTGTCTGTCCGTCCGTCCGTATGTATGAACGCGTCGATTTCATAAGAAATAAGAGCTAGTGACTTGAAATTGTTTTTGCTAGGTCCGTGTATATCACGCGCATATCGAGTTTTTCTCTATATATCGATAACTACTCCTGATATTTTATTATCGATTAAAAACCTTTTCAAAAGCTAGTTATTTTATTATATCTCCTACACCTTTAGAGCTAGAGCATCCAAATTTTAAATGTGGACTTATTGTATTTTATACAATTTCGGTTTTTGTTGTAATTTACCCCCCACCCCTATATCCACCCCCTCACCATCACCTTTGTAAAAGGCGTATTTCAAGTACTAGAGACTTGTGCTTTGGAATGTACATACATTTTCACCATATGATTATCTTTCATTAAGATTGTACGTCTAGAAATTAAATTATTCAACAAATAAATTCTTATAATGTTTCCCACACTGCAGCGCAGCCCAAGCGCAGTCGCTACTTACTGCGCAGTTAGCAGGGCGTGTTCTAATACGTGCGTGTGTATATACAGGGACGAACTAAATTATTGGCACAGCAAGGTTTTTAAACTTTATAGCAATTTTTCTAGTATTTTGAAACGTTTTTTTTTTAATGAAACAAAGAATTTACCAAATAGGGAATATTTTAAATTAAACAAAAAAAATCCGAAATACTTCATCGTACATTTTTTAAAAATTAAAAAGCCAAAAAAAACCTAAATTTTGCTAAACAAAATTATTGGCACACTTATTTTTTTTTTTTTTTTTTTTTTTATCAATTTGACCGATTGGGCAAAATCATTTTGGCAATTTTACTATAGGCTGAAGTTACAAAAGAAATGGGGAAGGATATGCACCCGATTACGATACGAAGAGTACTGCACAAGGTCAAATACAAAGTGCGTGTGGCTAGACGAAAACCGTGCATCAAAGGTGCTTATAAAAAAAAGCGTTTGGACTACGCTAAGGAATACTTTTAACACGCCATCTGATTATTGAAGTCAAGTCTGTGATGAGTGAAAATTCAATATATTTCGATCGGATGGGCGTTAAAATGCTTAGAGAATGCCGAATACTTCGTTCCACAAAAACAATATTACGATAAGCGTTAAGCATGGTGGTTGTGGGGTGATGGTTTGGGGTTGCATATCTGCTGCAGGTGTGCCCGAATTGGTATTTATAGACGGTATAATGGACAAACATTTGTATCTAAATATTTTGAGTAATAACCTTTAAAAAAATTTCTGAAAAGCTACAACTACCCAGCTCGTTCACATTTCTGCCCATATCGTCAAAATATGGCTGGCGTATAATACCGCCCATGTGTTACCGCATCCACCACTATCTCTAGACCTAAATAGAATTGAACGCTTTTGGAAAGAATTGGATAGGCGCATCTCAAAACGGGTAATAACAAAGCAAGCCGACCTAAAACAATCTCTTATTAAAGAATGACAAAAAATTAGTTATCAGCCATTATTAAAGTTTTAAGGATACATACCCAATGTTATTTATGGTTATTATCAATTTTTTTCATAACATTTTTATGTTTTTTAATTTTTTGTTTTTAGTGTGCCAATAATTTTGTTTAGCTAAATCGAGGTTTATTTTTGGTTATTGAATTAAAAAAAAAGTACGTTGATGTTTTTCGCAATATTTTTACTGTATAATTTAATAAATATCCAATTCTACTTAGTACATTTTTTGGTTCACTAAAAAAACGTTAAAAAACAATTACAAAATTGCTTTAAAGTTTAAAAAGCTTGCTGTGCCAATAATTTAGTTTGTCACTGTATGTGTGCCGAAAAGAAGTGCAGAGTGACTAGAATATCAGATTACAGGGTTAAGGGTATCTCCTAGTCGAGCAGTCTCGACTAGAGTCTTCTTATTTGTTTATGTAGAATTATATGTACTTTACGGAATTCCGATTCTTGTCAAAATTGACCCCCCACTCCTAATTCACCCCCCTCACCCAAATATATTTTAAAGGCGTATTTAAAATACTAGAGACTTGTGCTTTGGCAAATACATGCATATCCATTTTATATTCATAATCTGAAAGTTTCATGAAGATAGTCCATCCAAAAGAAAAGTTATTAAACAATTAAGTTCCCATAGTAAGCCACCACTGCAGCCAATGCGTGTTTATGCGCACGTAAGTATGTGTGTGTGTGTGCGAATTATTATTAAAATATCAATTGTTCGCAGGATTCAGGGGATCTCGTAGTCGAGCAGTCTCGACTACAGCTTTCTTACTTGTTTTTTTTTTTTCAAAAAGAGCAAAAACGAGCAAAAAAAGTTTTTTAATACCATTAACTAGACATATTGCTTAGTAACTTGCCATTGTTAGATGCATGTTTTTATATGCACTTTTTAAGTAATACTCCACGGAACACAATTAAATTTGTTAGATTTTTGCTAAAAATACAATCAGTAATAGCAGTGGACAATAAAAAACACACAAACATTTATGCATATGTTAGCTATACATTACAAATACCTTGAGCTTTGTTTTCCTTTTTAATTTTTTAAATTTTAAATGAAAACAATAATAATTTGAGAGCTTGCAACAGCAGAAAATTTTTCGTGCATATTTTTATACCTAGAAGCTTCAACAGATCAGCTGACTTTAAGGCGTTCCCACAAGAAAAGAATTGACCCCTAAAATTCACAATAAATTTTTTCCATCTGATTGGAGTGTCAGCAACTTATAAATAAAAAAAATCACCATAAATTTTTTACTTTATGCCGCCTAGCACGGAAAATCGCCCATAGTGCACTGTATAAGTTAATGAGTTTCTTATTTCATTTATATTTTGACAAATTTCGAGTGTACTACATGTAATTTTTTTTATTAGGTTGGTTCATTGTAGTCTCTAGTCGAGCACTCTCGACTAGAATTTTCTTACTTTTTATATCATGAACCCATTGAAACCAGGAAATCTATGCGTGTATAATGGCTTTGTTAAAATGTATGTAACACGCCGACCCTGTTCAGGGTCTAAATCAAGGCAATCCTATCTGTCTGTCCGTATATCAGAACGCGTAGATCTCATAAAGTAAAAGACCTACAGAATCGAAATTTTTTGTAGATTTGGGTATAGCTCTCGTAAGTCTGTTTAAAAAAGCAATTTTCGTTTTAATATTATCGATTAAAACAGGTAATGAAAATGTAGAAAAGTTATTGAACAATCAATTGCGTGTGTGTACATAGCCCAAAATAAGCCGTGAAATATTTCAAAATGAGTTCCTAGCATGCTTCTTATTTGTTATTTATATTTTTGTATTTTGCAATCCAGGTGGTAATTATCCAATACGGAAAAATGGCATTCTCAACAAAGGCGCTGTCACTCGATCAATGGTTATGGTGCATATTCTTTGGAATCGGAACATTAGTCTGGGGACAATTAATCACTTCAGTGCCTACAAGAAAGTTGCCTAAGATATTATCGTGAGTAAATTCTGTTTATTATTGTTGTTTTTTTACGTGCGTGGAGTTTTTGTTTGATTAAATTTAAATCCATAACTCTTTCTATAATTTAAGTTTGACTCTAAAATCTAACAAAAATTAACTGAGTTTTAATTAAATTGATTTGTATGCTAACATGTGTGTGTATTAAATTCTTGTGTTGTTTTTTTTTATTTTTTTTTATTTTTTAAGTAAATTAGTTTAAAATGATTTTGGCCTATTTGCCTTTCCTCTCCCTTCCTTAGCGCTGCTGACTAAAATTGCTTGAGAACGGTTCCCTATTGGGTTACATGCACAATTCCACACAACAGCTACACACACAGACACACTCCCACACACATCCACAAACCCACACACCCACAAACACTCACACACACACAGCTCGTTAATTATAAAGTAGTTTATTTGACAAGCTTGTTTAAAAATTAAAAATAATTTTACTTGATATGCAATAAATATATGTTACGTATATTATCCAAAATAATTATATAAATGTAGTTGTTATTTACTTACGTATAATAAGTATGAATTTTATTTACATTATAATATATCAGGATAGAGAATATATGTTAGTTGATCTTGATCGGTTAGTCGATCGGGAAAACGACCTAATAATCAAATTTTATATTAACATATGTTAACATAAGAAAAAAACCTTTATAAGTTGTATCATGATCCATGAATGTGGTTTAATTTAATTTTTAAATATGATTTCAGATATTATGTTATGTAACTAGCTCTCAGATACAGCAGTATATATGCATAATATAACTTGTGACAATGATAATTTGTTTTTAGGTGGGGTCGCGGACACCCTGAAGAATATACGGATGCGATGAATTTAGGCGAGGAGCGCTTTGATTCGATTGATTCTGATAAAAAACCAAGAGCTGGACAGATTCTATGGATACGCGGTCTGACACGTCTGCAAACTCAAGTAAGTTATTATTGTTGTTTCTTATATATATATATATATATATATATATATATATATATATATATATATACTCTTCAGTTGTGTTTCTATTTTGTAATTTTTCTTCATACGTTATCATTTAAATTCATAATACATTTATTTTCAAATTCGGTTGTTTCCTTCAATACAGTAATATAGCGTATAAATATATATGTCATGAGAAAAAATTAATTAAGTAGCCTTGTCATACTGAAAAATACAAAAATGCAAAGTAAATTTAGGGATTCTATTGGTAGTTCTAAATTCTTTGACTTGAAGTTGATTTCTATAAAACAATTCAAGAACTAAAAGGGAAGATAACTAAAACTATAGTAATGCTAAGACTATAAATATCAGAAACTAATTAATTTACAATAATAATACATATAATAAAATACACATAAGAGTATAAATATCAGAAACTAATTCATGTATAATAATAAAATACATATTCATTCGTTTGAAGTGGGGAACAACAGAAAATTGATATATATTGAAGATTCTAAACACAATCCTAAAATTCAAAGTAGAGAAATTATATTGACTTGGTTCTCTATGTGGACCATAACCTTTAAAATTCGAATATGAAAGTGGGTTTTCTATACATATTTGGAAAGAAAAAGCAAGAGAGAATACACAGCATAACGAAATTCTGTGAACCCTTTTTTATGTGGCATGGCGTCTCAGCAGTTCCCAATACCATTATAAATTTGTAAATTAAAAGTATAAAAAATGTAAATTAAAAGTAAAAAAAAGTATAAATTAAAAGTATATTTAGTGACTACGACTCAGTCAAACTACTAATTAATAATTCAAAAGCTTCTTTAAGAAATATTTACTTAGAAGAATTACTCAATTGCCAGAATTTCGAGATTTAAGCTATTTTAATTTTCTTAATTGCTCGCAGGTGAATGTGACTATCCACAACCGAATCTCCAAATTGAATCAAGTTTTTAAAATAAAAAAAATTAAAAAAACATGTTCGATAATCTCGCATTAACAACAACAGGACGATTTGAGTCGAAAGTAATAGTGTACTCCTTCGTATCGCCGATAACTCACCTCATTTCTAACACGTGAAGTCGGTCGTAACCGGCGTAACCACAATCAAAATTTTATGCTCTAGTAAAAATTTGAACTCTCTAGTATCAGTTCTCCGAATATAGCATAATTTGAATTGCACTATTTATTCTGATCCGATTGCCACGTTCCAGTGGCCATGGACATATTTATTTTTGGTCGATCTTTATAGGATCATAGCATTAACTTTCTACCACTTTATGTTATAGAATTTCTGATACACTGGAGAATGCATTTCCGATTTGCCACGACACGAGTACACGAGATTCCAAAGAGCATTGAAATAATTTGTATTCTAAATTTATATACTGTTAACTTATATACTGTTTTCCCTTTTGCGAAACAAGTATTAAAACGCTTTCCGATAGTATACGCAGACACGAAATATTGAATAATTGATATATCTACTCTGCGCAGTCAGGCATTCCCGACTTCAGGTTAGGGTAATGGGTAGTTAAGGTTACATTAATTATCCCACAAAGGAGGGCATTGAATAATAATAATTTTTTTTTTTAATTTTTTTTTTTTTTTTCGTTTTGTTAATCAATCAAAATTTGTTTCTATATACTAATTTCTAAATTTTCATTTAATTGAGCTTTATTTGTATATATAATTAAAATAATTTCGTGTTGAAAGATCTATTAAAAACATTAAATATTCCGCCAGTGCTGACAAGCTGTGACATACATTTCAAACGGCCCTATTCTTTCTCCTATAGAAAATATCATTGCACTGAATTGAATTTAGTTGTTTCAATTAGTTAAGGATCGGTCGATCGGGAATACATTTATGGAATGCTGTGAAATTATTATATAGAGATCAGCCCGAAGTTAGTTTTAATTAAATATTATCTCTAACTTCTAATAAAAATATAAATTTTAAATATGTATATACATATGCTCATGCATATTAGGGTTTTGTTTTGAAGCCGTTGTTAGTAGTCAGATATATTTTATGTAGTCAATATAATAGACAAAACCACACATCTCTCTTATCTTCTGTTCTTAATGTTCTCTGCCTATCCTTGTATCTCTCCATCTCTTTGTGTGTCCCTATCTCGCTCACTCTGTCAAGGAAAAGAAGTTTCTCTGTTTTTCTTTGTCTCTGTTTCTTCCTCACTCTCTCTCTCTCTCTCTATATATATATATATATATATATATATATATATATTATATATATATTTATATATTTATATATATATTTATATATTTATATATATATATATATATAATATATTTGATACAAGAGAGTATATATAGATCCGTCCCCTTTATCTTTGTGCATATCATATTTCAATAACTCTGAAATTTTCCGATTCCACTCTCTTGTGTCAAATCCTTAATGTGTCTAGATTTCTGAACTTATTTTACATATATACAATTTAAACTTACGAGTATTGAAAATACGTATCCGCCAATTATTAGCTATATATATATATGTATATGTATCTGAAGAATCAAATCATAAATAAATATTTAAAACTGCCAAATAAGAGTGCTCTAGTCCTGAACCCTGCATAGATACCCCATAAATCCACGCTTCTTCTATACACTCATAACAATTAGCACATGCACGCACGCGCTATTCTAATCGCGCAGTTAACGATTGTGCGCGGGATTGCAGTATGTATATTGTTAAATAGATCTACTTTCCTAGAAAAATCTTCCGAGCACAAGTAAGTCCTAGTATATTACATTTGTTTGTTTTGTAAATTAATGAAACGAGGGAGAAGGTAAATTCGCAATATACTAGGTCGGTATATTTATAGTAAATGGGATGTTTCTATATTTTATTGAATTTATACTGAAAAGCGATGAAAAATTATCGATTCTAATCAATAGTACGGAATACCGTATCAGTTATCAGAGAGCAAATGTTAAACTTGTGCTATACACCAAGGGTGCCGTTTTTCCATTGGTTACAAATCATATATCAGTTATATCTTTATTCTTATAAATTTTAATTTAATTTGAGAAAATGGTATATATCAATGAATTAGTATTGGAGCTCATCAGTTCATTTATAATTAAAAAATGATTAGTATAGCAAATAAGTAGTAGGGCGGGTCAAATATCTATATCGGCCACATTTGCAGTTACCGAAACTTTTTTCTGAAAAATCCCTTTGGTTCCTTTTCTTGCTTCCTCTATCAATATGGCCTTTTCTACTTCAGAAACTATTAACTACATTTTTGCTGATATTTTATACACGATTTTATTTTATTTGTCTTTACAATTTTTCTTTTATATATATATATACATATATACATATATATATATATATATATATATATATGTATACATATTTTCATCGAAGCCCTTGCTATAAATTACAATTTATTTTTAATTTTTCATTCCAAAAATATTTTTATTTTTTATGTATGATCTATATATATATCTATATTATTTTTCAAAAGTTTCAACTTTTCTGTGACACTTGCATGAGAACCGTAATCACAAGATTATATAATATAGTAGCTATACTTTACGATACCCCAAAACTCTTTCATATACACGTTATAATTCATTCCCTTATATCTACATTTTTATATGGCGTTTTCCATTTCGGGATTTCGTCAAACCATATGCCACATACAATACAAATGCTCATGTATATACATTTTAGAGGCCTGCACGAATGCATTTGAAACGCTAAACGAGACGCTCGTGGTTTGGTAGTGCTTGTTATCTGACTGTCTCGTTATTTTTCAAATAGTGTAAGCTCCAGCATCGCGGACGAACGAAACAAAACGAGCTATGCTTACATACCGAAATGCTTGTACAATAAAGAAGCAACGAACGAAAGAAAATATAAAGCATCATTCCAGTTTTGTTTTCGTTTTAGCTATCAGCTAGTGTTGCTAGCTTAGACTATTTCAAGCTAGACTTAGCATATTACTATTGAATACAGAAACACATTTATATTAGGAATAAAAACAATAACAAGATTTTATTCATATAAACGCAATTTTATAAACTTAGCCATTACAGGATTTTGATATATATTTATATATATATATATATATATATATATATATATATTTTTTTTTTTTTTTTTTTTTTCAAATTGAAATTTAAAACCATTATTTCATTAATCATGGCCATTAGCCAATTCAAGCCTGATTTTTACTCAGCAACGGCGCTCAACACGCAATGAAAGTACCGTAGAATTTTGACGTTACTCGCTTTCGTTACTCGTTTCGTTTCGTTTTGTTTCGTTTGTCTAGGTATGTATTAGTTCTACTCTGCTCAAAGCGTAAGAAGTAAAGTAAAACAGAATACTTGGCGACTTTGAGTACCATTCGTTTCGTTTTGCAGCAATGCTTGCGATGCTCAAACACATGCAAATATCAGTATATTTGGAAGACAACCGCAAGCAAGTACATATATCCATGCAGGCCTCTACATTTGTATAATGAGTAACATAATATGTGGTTCTTCAAACTTAAAGCACAAATAAAACATGTCATGCTAATGAAAATTAAAAAGCCTAAATGGTAAGTTACAGATTGAAAAAATACCCTTTAAGAGCTCTTTATCAAAGTATTATATTTAACAATTATAAAAAAAAATATATCACAAAAAAAGTCAAATCGCGCATTACTTTAATATTCGAGTTTTTCTCAAGCTTTTCAACTGACAAAAGTCAGTACGGTATCCATTGTCTATTATAGAGTTCCTTAGACATTTTGTGTGCAGTACAGTAATTAATGATGTATATATTTTGGGAACTAGTCCATTCGGAAGAATGAATTCAGGGGAATGTACGGGAACTAATTTAAGCTACATCTTGAATGAAAAATCATAATAACGTCAATTTTTTTATTTTATTCAAGAAATTATTCTAGAAATTAATCTTTAAATTGCAAATACTTCAGCAGTCCGTATAATATTCTTCTTGCTATTCAATTGATAAATGGAATATTTCTAATAAAAACTCGCTGTTTTTATAGCTTTTCTATTCTACCATTGTGCTGTTACCCATTGTATTGAATTCGAGCAATTTCGGGCCTTTCATGTCCTAAAATTAGGGCTGTCGAATATTTTTTAAATATCGTATCGATGATATTTTAAGTTTTGAAAAAATATCAAGCTGTTCCCTTATTAAAGTCAGGAAAATACGTTTTCAGCATATTCAATTTTTGTACATTCCCAATTGCTTTACTTATAACAGGAGTGACCAACGCAAATATATGAAAAATGTTTTCTAAAAATCGATATTTTTACGCCTATTTCGGGTTGCTGGAGTGCTTATTATACGACTTAGCTAATAAGCCGAATCTTAACGCCAAATTATTTTATGTATATATAGAGTTTTGTAGCTAAGTATAATACTTTGATATATACCTTATTGAAAAGTTATTTTTTCAATCTATACACTTGGAAGTTGAGAAAGAAAAAAGAGCCTAATATCAATGTTACTGTATATATAAACTTTTTGTATTGTATGCTTCACCATTAAAAATTCTGATATCAGAATATATATTTAGTAAATTAATTAATTAATGCTTTGAGGTTAAGAATTCTAACTGTGCTATCTGTCGAATGTTAATTTTTCTTAAAAATCAAAGTTATATATATTTTCCAACTTCATATGTCAAATGACCTTTGATATAACTATTTAGATAATTATCATACAAATACAAATTAGAATATAAAAAAGTCCAAATGTTTCAGTCGGACGTGACCAATATATTTATAATATTTTTTCCATAATACAAAAACTGTTTAACGAAAAATTCATTCAAAAATCAATATCTTCCGAGGAAATAATTGATAAATTATCTTCGTATTATCAAAAAGGCAACTTAACAGAAAATTTGAGTTTACAATGTCAAAGATTTGTTCCAAAGCCAATAAGCTTACTAAGATCGACCAAATCAAAACAAATATAGTTAATATGAAAAAAAAAAAAAAAAACGACCAGACATTAAAAGATAATACCATTGCATTCCTACTTTATAAAAAATAAATTTATTATAACAATCTTATAATACTCATTTCATTTTTTCGCTCTCCTTTTATTATATAATATATGCTTAAAACCATTTCCAAACGAACGATTGAATGAATAATTGACGTAAAACGCTGTCGACATTACAAACAAAATGTCAAATATAAATGAAAAACAAAAAAAAAATATATAAATATCCCAATCTATTATATATATATATATATATATATATATATATATATATATATATATATATATATATATATATATATATATATATATATTCCGCGTAAAACCTCAACTCTCACCTCCAGATTTCAGTACCGGTAAGAAAAAGTGTATATTTCTTAAATTTATTGGCAACTAGACCGATGTTTATGTCACATCTCCCAGCTTACATACCCGTATAACCCCAGCCCAAAACAACCAACCCAATCAAAAACTACGCTTTTAATACACTTTTCACTTCCCTCTTTCAATTTTCCATTATGTTTATTTTATTTTCACATTTTTCTACGCTTTATATATATAAATACGTATATATCCCTGCTCAGTTTCCTATTCTGTTCACAAACATTCCTAACATTTTATGCTTGTAGTGTTTAGTAGCATTCGTATTGTATCTGATAAATGTATATGAATGTATATAAAAAATTCACTTTCTATTATTTTTTTTCTCGATTTTCCTTTTGAGTCCAACCTGAAAAAGTTAATCCGCCTTTTACGATTATACGTATGTCACCTATAGGTGGCATGTGATTATCTACAATTTTATGTATGTATGTATGTGTACGTGCGTATGTATTTGATATACATACCATATATATATATATAACAGATGTAGGTGTATTTGCAATAAAAAGATTTTCTTTGCGAGACTTAGACTACAACAGAAATTTAGTTGATGCCTGTTTTGATTTACATATACATATATCTGTCGCTGACCAGTGTTCATATTCTTTTTATTTCCATCCATTTTACCTTTCCACAAATCATTTTGATATGTCACAGTTTGAAAGTCACTGTTTGGTAGTTTTGTATATATAGGCAGATCTGAGATCCACAAATATATATTTATTCACAGGAATATTAAAATATGTAATGACTACATTAGGTTCGATGTTATTTACTTCTGTTCTTGTTTTGCGAAAATCGAGCGCATTGAATTTAATTAAATTTTGTTGTTGAAATTTCTTATTTCTTTCTTCTTTTGTTATTTGATTTTGTTTTATAATAAAATATAATACAATACTTCTCTCTTTATATATTAACAAGATTTTAGTTTTCATATAAAAATGAAAATAAATTTGTGTTTTAATTTTCAATATTGCAAAATAATTTATTTCATTAGATTTATGATGGGGTGTTTAAATTTGTTCATGTATTTCTGCCTAATGTTTTACTGTCATTCTTTCTATTTCGATCTGTTTGTTATTCTCTCTTGCTCTCTCCCTCTGTCTCTTTTTAAGTCTCTCGCTTTCTATCTCACTATATTTTCCTTTCTTTCGATGTCTCTTTTAGTCTGTTTCTCATTGAATCAATTGAAGAAGTTAAGGTTTAGTTTTTCATTATGTTTAGATTTGGATTCGCGAAATATTTGAAGTACTAAAACATAACCACTTTTATAGAGTATTAAGTCCTCGGTATGACCGAAGTAGTTTAAAATTACGGTTCATTATTTCAATGATAAATAATCAGACAACACCCTAACATTTGTATGAAATACACAAAAACACACTGCGACGCATTCTTTTATATACTTTTTGAATTTGTTTCATTTTGAACATCTGCCTGATTTAATCTATCGACTATTTTTCTTTGATGACATATATCAATAATACAACAACAAACATTTTAAAAATATAATTATTTAGCTTTCAAAATTTAGTTATTACAAAAGTAATTATTAGATATTTGTTGTTAATTTTTGTAATTTTTAAGCCGGCGGAACCAATACGAGAGACTGAAGTGTAAATTGATCATTTTCAAAAATAAAATAAGAATAAACTACTTATATATATTGTAATGATGTAATACTCTTAAAGAAACACATACACAAACATATACACGTACTCAATCACAAAATTCATAACAGAGATACATGAATTAGATTATACAATAGAATCTTTATGAAATTAACTAAAAGAGTATCATGTAATCAGAAAGAGAAGAAAAGGGCAACATTTATTCAAATTAAAAAAAAAATGAATTTTGAAGCCAGTACAACCCAATGTATGTATATAATGTATATTCTAGGCGTAGATTTCCCAAACTAATGAAAAAATCAAAGAGTTAGAGCCAAAGTCTTACCTACTTACATTTATATGTATGTATGTATATAATAATGCAAGTCAGAGACAATACGAATGAACTCAGAAAAATTATCCATCACTGTGTATCCAATACAATTGAGTATTTCAATTCTATGAAGCATAATTTAGCTATTTACGAAGTATTCGAAAAACTTACACACACACACACACACACACACACACACACACACACACACACACACACACACACACACACACACACACAAGAGAAAAATAAAAATTCAACTGAGCATTCTTAGAGAAGCTACTTGAAACGCGAGTAAAAATATGACCAATGCCAATGAGAGGCGTATATTACCACTGATCAGTGATATTACCCAATATACAATAATGTATATCATGTTGATACTGATCAACATTGTTATCAATAACTCTGCCTAAATACTATTACATATTGGCAAACAAAGCGACAGGATCAACTATAGAGAGCAAGCTAATATAATAATTACATTAAAAACAACTCGTTAAATAAAACAACAACAACAGTATCAACAAATCAAGGTCTTCTTTCTACTACTATCCACCTATGTCTATGAAAATTTTCATAATCTACCAGAACATCAACAAGAACTACTACTACTATTCTACTACTATCTACAACACTTCTAACGAGCATTAAAACGTATGTAACTTACAATTTTTTGAATTCAGACTTATACAAAAACTTTGAACCCCACCTTTCAAGGTAGTTAACAGTTAATAAGCACGTAAAACAGTAAATACAATGCGTATGTACCAAATAAATATTCCCTTCATGCTGCGCAAGTCAAGAAACTATTAAATTTTGTATTATTATAATTTGTTTGCCCAAAGTTTAGCAGTCCGAAATTCATTATTTTTTAATCAAAAGATTTTGAGTGGCATGAGCACAGTACCCACATATACATATGTACTACGGTTTCCAATATATGCATACATGTAATAAATATCTAAGTATGCAAGTAGTATATAGACCTGAAAGTTTATATAATCCTCTGTAAGCATTTTGCGATACATATCTAATAGTTTTTTATCGGAGCACTGGCATTACCACCATCCACAATAGGAAAACTAACATTAAAAAAATATAAATAAAATAAATAAAATAAATATAATAGCAATATTTGAAATATTTAACATTTGATTTAATTTTGAACGATGAATGATTTCAGATTTAAAAAAAAAAAAAAAAACGGCCTCGTCAGATAAATTGATTGATTGGTCAAGACGTTAAGATCTGAAATATTAATAATAAATATAATTAATAAATGCAACTCTCAGTAGACAATTATCACTTCGGAGTCGATAATGTCACAAATGTGCAGCCACCCTGTATGCTTAATGCTTAATGCAAGATCCAACCCCTAATACATACAAATTTACGAGTATTTACGAGTATATGGCTTGGCGGCTGTACAGGCCATTGCCATGAAAGTCTATTGACACTTTCAGGACAATGTAGATGAGTATTTCCGCGGCTGACTGATTTAATGTGTGTGCGCGCGTGTGTGATTCTATATTTATTTTTGTTTCACAGTTACTTTGGTACTATTTATTTATTCTTTCCTCTAACAAAACACAAAACGTACTCAGTGTTGGTAAAAAAAAGTTTCAGTTTTCCTTGCTTGTATTGTTATAATATTCGTTTGTTTATACACAGCTGTTATATTGTAAAGGCAAAGCATACATATATGTACATAGATGTGTGTTAGTCGGAAAATCAAACTAAATGATTTTACCACATATGTATATATGTATGTAGATACACTGCATGCTTACTTACGCTTCTGCACGTGCAATATTTTCGAAATATTCATATTTTCTGACATATATCTTTTTAAGTATATGCGTGTATATAGAAGACCTTGATCTTCAACATATCTAAAGAGACTTACTACGCAATTTATATGTTCCTGTGCCTAATTGGTTTCACTGCTTTGCTTTCTTGCTGATAATATTTCCGACTTTTATGACTACAATTTAATGCGTACCCAAATATAGTTCTAATAATAATTACAACAGCAGCGAAATTATAAAACTGATCGAAACTCACCGTCGATTGTGTCCGCACCCTGAATAACTTTTCGTCCGTTAAGAGCTATTCAAATAAATAGAGTAGCCGACTATAGATAGGCTGCATGCTACAGTACAGTTCTGAGCAACCAACCTCTCCTTTTCCCGGCTGAAAGCTACTTTTGAGCTATATACATATGTATATTTCTGTTTCTCTCTTATTGTTAATGCTTCATTGGGTTTTTTCCCTATTTCGTTAAATTTAATTTTTAATTTTTTTTTTTTTTCGACGTGTAAGTACTAACAAGCCAAGGCTTACATGCATACATACATACATACATACATATATGTATACTGTATACTGAAAATGTACATTTTAAATGTGCATATGGGCTTCTCCACTATGTCGGCACATGTTGTATGTATGCATGCATGCATGCATAGCCAATGTACGAAGTGCAAGTGTGTGTAGCCTGAAAATATTGCTATTATGCTAATTATGTTAATTATGCTTATTGTTTTATGTAATTATGTTATTATGCTTCCGTTTCTGTTCGTTTGTTGTCTAATTTCGTTTGTTTCAGTTGCGCGTGATTCGTGCATTCCGCTCGACACTGGAAGATCTAAACGAACGTCGCTCAATGCACAGTTTGCATAGCTTGCGTAGCCCACGGACGGGCATACCCACTGGCAGTGGTGTGCACCCGCTGTACAATTTAAATCTATTGAGCCCCAATTACAGCAGCAAACAGCCGCAACAGCAGCAGCAGCACCACCACCACCACCACCACAACCTCCATCATCATCAGCAGCAGCAGCAACCTCAGCAGCATGTAACAAATGCAAGTCTGCCTTCCGATATATCTTATATTGACGAAGATCCACAGCAGCAGCAGCAACGCACTTTGCAAAATGGATCAACATCAACGTCTGACACACATCAATCGCATTTACCATTTACTCATTCATCTGCTCGACCAACTGGCAGTGGCTTCTCTGATGCTGTCCATAGCCTGCAGGCTGAAAATGGGCAGAACGAAACCCGAATTTAAGCCACATCGCGCACCTTGAAATGCCAAAAACTAAAACGAAAACAATACCATAACCATTGACATACTTATGCATACGTACAGATGCTGTACGTATGCATTCACGCATAACAGTATATCTGCACATCGGTGCTTGTTAAGTGAAATGCAACTGTGCTGCAGACTTGAAATATCAAAATCGAACCAACTAATTGTTGTGTGTTAAACAATACAAATTGATATTGTCCTGTTCGGAAAATGTCTCGATTGGCAGCACTGATTAAGCGCTTTATACATATCACATTGAGATTCATTTATGCATTCGAATGCATTAGATGTGCATAGAGACACACCTCTGCGCCTGCATTCACTCATACGCGAACACACATGCAAACATATACTTATATAGCTATATCGATATCAATGTCGATTTAAAATCCTTGTTTGCCGTATCCCGATAATTATCTACTGTACTAAGAAATCTAATTACCGCTTAGCAACTGTTATTTAAACGCATGATTTTGTATTCTTTTTAATTTTTGTAAAAGTTAATATTACACTCTTGTGGTACGCGTATTACTAACTATATGAAAAAAAAACCTGCATAGTTTTACGTTTTTTTTTTTTTGGCCTGGTTTCGATTGCGATTGTGTGCATATGTGTGATTGAAAGTCTAAGGATTGGACATAAAATGCTTAAAAATATCTGATCCAAAAAAAAGAGTACTCTGGGGTGGATATGGAATCCCAAATCAATGTGGCAAGTACTTATACCAACTCAATTATAAATATACATATGTTTTCCTTGTATGTTTACCATATAACTTAAAAGAATATTCAAAGATCTAGACAGGAACGAATCGAATCAATGTGAGAAACTCAAAATCGTTTGAACACGCATATGAATTAATATTTTAATAATTATTATATAATTAAGGTCACGCGACCCAACGATAGACCGATTGATTTTTTCTTAGGCTCACACGCACAGACTTTCTACTGTTGTATGTAAATATTATTCATCCTTATTTTTATTTTTTTTTATTATTAATATTATGTTTGGTAATCAGGATATATCTCTTTAAATCCATGTAAATCTAAGTTTCGTAGTCTTACCATCCATTTAAGTTAATGACATTGAATATTATATATTATATTTATCGTTCAATTATCGAAACTTATCTTGCATTTATGTACGTACATACGTCCTACACATACACACATAAAAAATATTTATTCGATATTTTTACTTTTAGAGTGGAATTTCCAGAGGTAATCGGTGTATTATGTATAATAGCCGGCATAATTATTTTGACGAAATCGATCTGCGACTTGACGGCATTGCTTAGTGCTAATTAAAATACCAAAAATTATGATCAAACAATAATAGCTCTATTCATTCCAAATTTTATGCTGTTTATCTTTTCCGTTCTCTTTATGATATAAATGCATGAAGCATCGAATTTTAGCGTAGCATATGTATTTTGACGAAAGCTTTTTGTATCCTGAACCCATCGAGGGTAGGAAATCAGGGTATAATGGTTTTGTGAAAAAGTATGTAACAGGCAGTAGTAATCATCGCAGACCCCATAAAGTATATATATTCCTGATCAGGGCGACGTGCTGAGTCGATAAAGCCGTGTCCGTCTGTCCGTCCGTCCGTATGAACGCCTAGATCTCGGAAGTTATAAGAGCTAGAGAGCTTTGGCATGCATGCTCGTGTGTACCATACGCAGTACAAGTTTATCTTTTTATCGAGAATAATCGAAAAATCGACTTTGTTTTTTCAGTCTAATTAGAACACTTTTAGACCTAGAGACTTCAAATTTGCTTTGTATATAAAGATATTGGATACAAAGATTTTGTCATACACAGATTTTGGATACTACACCCCCTTCGCTCCCAATTTGTAAAAAACGCATTTCAAGTACTAGAAACTTTTGCTTTGAAATGTGCCTTGAATGTTTCATAAAGATAGTTCATCTACAAAAGAAACTATTCAACAATTAAATTCTCATAATATTGCCCACACTACAACGCAGCCCAAGCGCAGTCGCTGCTTACTGCGCAGTTAGAGGAGCGCGTGATTACACGCGCGTGTGGATGCTTGTAAAAGAAGTGCAGAATAAGTAGAATATCAGCTTGGAGGGTTCAGGGTATCTCCTAGTCGGGCAGTCTGTATTAATTTGTCTTCATTCCTTTACTTTTCGTCAACTTTCAGTATTACATTCTTGTCAGAATACGTATGCGATGCCCTAAATTTAAAATTAATAACTATGTAACAAAAGAAAATAAATACAAAATTCTGCATAATAAAGCCGTTAAAAAGTTATGTTCAAAGTATGCGAACATTTTTTCGTCAAAATAATTATGCCGACTATTATATGAATGTACATGCAATAGCATAGCCTTAGAGATGGCATGTTGCCCAAAGCTTAACCACGCTTACCTATCTAATTCGAACTTGCATTCACAAATACATATATAATTTACACAGCCATTAAAGCATACATACATATGTACATATTACGAAGTGGTGCGTCTATCTTCCTTTTCAAAATATTCATTAGACATTTGTTTTACAATTGTTTGAATTATACAGTCTCAGTTTATTTAACCAAACACGAATACGCTTACACACACATATATATACACGTCTACCTAGATTACCCTTTAATCCAAACCGTCGAACACCTACCTCTTCCACAGTTGTATATATATATTATATATTATACAACTGTATATTATACAACTGTGGAAGAGGCAGGTGTATATATATATATATATATATATATGCAAATGTATAATTCTCTTCTCTGCTATACTCTACTATTGATATAATAAATTTGATTAATATCGCATATTCTAAATATATACATATACATACATACATACATACATGGCGCACGTACAGCCACCCCAGGTTACATAAAGTAGATTTCTAACTCGGCTTTGAGAGTTTTGAGTGACCTAACAACTGCTGTTTGTGTAACCTATATGGTGATTAAGTATGATCAAAGTTTGTATGTACGCTGTGCAGTATATATGAATATATATATATATATATATATATATATATATATATATATATATATATATTCATAAAATCAATGTAGTATCTATATGGCAGCCACACGTTACTGACTTCAACCTGTATATTTCTCTTCCCACTTATTGTTTTCCATTTTACTTTCTCTTCAATTTTAAAGGTAATAGGCGGCGAGTTGCAAGAACGCTTGATACCGGTTCCCTATAGCAAGAGCAACACTGATCAAGCTGTAAGCCTTTCCTTATTTTTTCTAAATTTATGTACACCACGCCAAGACAATATAAAGACTATAATTCACCAAAACTAAAAAGGGCGTCCGATTTAGAAATTTATCAAATATGCATATAACAAAGTAGACTTAATCAATCATATGCATTCCGCTTTATTGAGTTAGTTTGTTGCTCCTCATGAACGACAGATTGTATTCAGAGGATGTAGTAAATATTCTGTATCGTTCTTGAACTACGTGTAACAGAATGTCTGCTTACCTGACAATGATTTTGATTGCTTAACTAAATTTTTTAAAAATTCAAAACTATTATACCCTGATTTTCCCATTTTAAATGGGTTTCGGGTGTTAAAGATGTAATTGATTTAAAGTGAGATATATTTTAATTGGAGATAGTTGACATAAAACATAGGCAGCTCGGCCGTGCCGAAGATTCTTTTATGGTTTTCATGACCTTGCTGATTGGTCGCCCTCATTTATTTAAGAATCTCTACTAACTTAACTGCAAGCTGTGGCATGGCATGGCGTGGGATCTTAAATTAATCCCGGCAATATCATTCAATTGCATGCTGTTCCAATTAAATGAAACTATATGCATATCATATTCCTAAAATAATCGGATTAAGCAGTAAAATGTGGTCTATTTTATTAAATTGTTAAACATTTACGTTAAATGTGAATTGATTTCATTTTCTCTAGTTTATCTGCTACTGCATGTATTCATTCATTCATTCCATCTTCACCTGTATGCATGTGCTTCAAAATTCAATTTCAATCCCAGCAGACTTTTACTGTCTTTATCGTCCGTCCGTGTAATATATATATTAATATATATACCCAGACACTAGTACTCTGCAGATATATTTCTATATAAATATATTTAGAAACTTTACGTTTATTATCGATAAGATGTTTTATTCGAATAATACTATCATCTCCGACATGTATATGTATATATATACATATATGTCGATGAAGTCTAAAGCATTAGATTTTTGTGGTCGCTCGGCTATAATACACATACATATACGCACATACCCACGCATTCACACATGCCCGCAACACTCACTCCCATCGCTGTGTTTATGTTAAATTTGTGGTTTCTGTTTGATTAGTTCTCTTATAATGAATAAATATACATACTAATGTATGTTATGTGTTTTGCATATGATTTTTTCAGTTGAATGACAAATAAAAAATAAACAAAATAGTAGTATTCTTTCTTATACTGTCGTTTCCTGTCTATCTTGTCACTGTTCTTGGTGTTGTTATTTTCTTTCTACTTGACTTGTGCTTAGATACGTGTGGTGAACGCCTTCCGGCAAGGTCTTGACGCCCGTTACGGTGAGCACACCAACACTTCGCTGGCAGAGGTGCTGCGTAAGCAGACTTCGCTGAGCAAACGCCTATCGGAGACATCTTCCATTGATTATGCCGATAACATACCCGATGAGCTGACCATACCCGAAATCGATGTTGAGCGGTTATCATCGCACAGTCACACCGAAACTGCTGTTTAGATGGCTAAACGACACAGTCACATACATACCTACAGTCATCCAATTGCCTACCAATCCATACATTATACCTACATACGCAAACACATATGTTGTACACACTCTTAGATACACGAATACAATATGAATTAAGCTAACATCCTTAAACAATAATACAAATAATGAAATTACGGCTAATAAGAAATTTTAAAAAAATTACAAATATATTCAACTCATGCACACATGATAATTTATTAAACGAATGTATAGTTCGTTTGGGAGTAGAATAGGTCCGGTTGAAAACTCCAAGAACGGTGCAACAACAACAGTCACCGCGACAGCAATCAAACTGCAACAGTAACAGTAACATCAGCAAGTTTAGTCGATAGTCTGTTAAGAGCGCTGCCACAAGAACTATGGAATTCTGCATATTATGTTAAATGATGTTGTACACCGCACTGTGCTGATTCATAGTTACATATAAATTAGTGTTACAGTAAATAAGAAAAAGTATGTACAGACTCACACATACACATAACTATATACATTAAAAAAAAAACAACTTAAATTCGAGTGGCCTAAATACTGAAAGCTGTAATAACTATTATACACACTACGTATACATACATGTTTATGCATACAGACGTATGTATGTATTTATGTAACACCCCCATTAATCTATACGAAACCGATACCCAGCCCACGACCAGCACAGCAATCAAACCGGGTAGACGATTGAAAAAAAAAAAAAAAAAAAACAAGTGCGTTAAACCCATGTCGCCTAAAATTAAGTCATAAAAATGATTACTACATATATACATAAATAAATAATTGATAAACACGAAACAGCCTTATCGTTTCTATTATTAAATTTATTTCTCAAAGCAGGAGTAACAGCAACAATGCTTGCGGATAAGTAAATATATGCCAATGGTAGTACCACTATTAAACGACCTAATGGTTACGCACAGAGCAGCTCAGTTACTTTAAAAGGTAACTAGCAGCTCTATTGTCACGTCATATTTTCAGATTTTGCTGTTATGAAGCTTGGCGGCCCCTTCACCAGAGATCGGCCAAGTGCTCCAAAACAACGAAAATGAAGTATATATATAGTAAATACTTTTAAAAATGGTCAGTCAATAATTTTATTACCTTACTATAAAAAATCTTTCGAAAGCAGCAAGCCAATATGTTAGAAGGAAAGATTGATCGCACAGTTTTCGCCATTAGTTATGTTTATTTATGTCAATGTATCTACACATTCAAATACACATTGAAGCTGCATCAATAAAGGTGCTACTCACAGTTGCTGTCATGTCAGAAACATCCGGTAGAATTAAATAAAATTGGAGTATTAATTACAAAATCGAAAGCTGAGCCTGCTTAATTGAAGCCTAAAGAAACTTGTACTCCTGGTATCAGATTCGTAGCACGCTTCTCATATGAAACGGATGTATTCACATTGTGGAGATCGTCCCATTAATGCGTTATATGAACATTGTTATAACTTCATATTTGCTATTCAGTTAACAGTAGCTTGTACAATTACCCTAAATCTATGTCTTATAAATGGGCCATAAGTCTACTTAAGCTATAATGAAGTTTGCCATCAACTAATGTCAGCCAACGCTAATGCTGATGGCCGAAAGTGATAACCAGTGGCAGCAAGGTCCCGAAAATCATGATAATTAACTCGCTGTAGCGCAGGCCTTTGTTGCTACTGAGCAGCTCGCTAGGAACGGCTGGTTCTCGCGATTCTTCTAGCATATGGTAGTCGTATTGGGCCTTACGATGATGATTGCTGCTGTGTCCGCTCTGCATCAATTCTGGCAATACATGCACGGTCGCCACATACAAAAATGTGCCAGCAGAGAAGAGCATCGCGATACCAGTGGCATTCACCGAATCTAGCGTCTCCTTTTGCTCCTGCCCAATGCCAAAATAAGTGAGTAGCGTTAGCAGTGGAGCCGACAATGAAAATATGCCCAGATGCTTCCGTATTTGCTTTCGTTCCACTTTGTCATGCAACAGAAAGCTAACCAAACCAAATGCAGCTGGCGCCTTATGCAGCATTATGGCTAAAAAAACAATTATTTCAACATCTTGGTGACTGGTCGTTGCCGCAGCACCTAACGCGACCCCATCAGCTGAAAACGTCAAAGGTCAGAGGAAGGGGCTTAATTATAAAATATTTGATAGCACCTGCAGCATGCACTACTAATCCCAGAGTTGCTGTAATATTCCTTTCATTTTCACTGCTTTTGCTGCTTTTACGTTGAGAAACTTGATCGACGAGCATCATAAAAACAAAGCCCAACACCAGAGATAATCCAATTGTACGCGAATAATCGTGTGTTCGATGCGTCTCATAAAAGCTAGCTTCATCAAGTTTGGCAATATCATCGAGTCTTTCTGCTACTACTGATGCTGTGGCCTTAGGTCGATGGCTGTCCATATATAAAGATCGAATGCCTTCTGGTATAATCACTGTTAAAGCTGTGCCAACTAACAAACCAGCGCCCAGTACTGTGACGAATTGTAGCTTTTCCTGAATTGAAAGAATAATAAATGGATTTGATAAGACCGGGCTTGATATATTATTGCTAGGTATATAAACACCTCACTTAATTTCATAACGAGAGGTATGCTTCCAGCTAGATAGGATCCAACTAGCATTACAATTACCAATAAAATTAATATAATAGTTTCATCAGCCATTTTAGACTTTTTTTTTGTTTTGTTTTCTTTTTATGTTTGCCAACTCAACGATTTTTTTTATGGTTGTCTTTTTTGATGGATTTTATTGCTTTTAGCATGCGGTCACTTTAAAAAATAGTGAAAAGTAATGATTATATCGTACTTTCCTAGATTACAAAATACGGTCTCACTGACATATTGAAAAAGACTGTTTTAAAGAAAATACTCAATCCAATTCTAGTTTTATTTTCATTAGAACTATCTGAATTTATCAAATAATGTATTCAACAATCATTACATTCAGTGACTCCGGAGTCATGACTTCTTAGGTGCAATTGCTATAATGATTATGCCATGTATTTTTTTTATCGATACGTACATGTAAAATATGTAAACCTTATCGGTAATAATATCGATGATTTTGCAACTTACACTAAGAAATTAGCGAAGTAGAAGCTCTATTTTAAAACTTAATATTTATCTCGATTCTTGGTAACAAGGCAAAAATAGTGCGCCTTTAAGTCTGTAAGTTTCTTAATGCAAAAATACATCAATTGAAAGTTATATCTATATATATATATATATTAGCAAAGCCTAAATGTGTTCTAGTGAGTGTATTTGTGTATATTGTGTATATGTAAGTGAATGAGTAGCGATGCAGTTATTTATTTACATATTCTTAAGTTATTCTTTCAAAATAGTTCATATTCAATAAGAAAATTTGCACATATTTGAGGCTTTGTGTATGCTAAGTGTTCCTCTGTCTATGCGCTTATAAATATGTAAACATGCATATATTTCTACTTATGCATACTATTTGTAGTGCACTGTCTGAACGTACATATGTATGTATGATATTGGACGTATATACATATATGTGTATATATGTATATCCGTGTGTATGTACGTAAATAAACGTCATTTTACTTATTTCGATAATTCGTAATTCTAATATCTCAATTTATCACAAGTACTCTTTTGAATTTACTAATTGAACGCATATATGTATACCATGTGTACATGCATTTTTTACAGTTTATATACAATGGGTAATTGTCTAAAAATTAATAGTTCCGATGACATTTCCCTGTTGCGAGGCAGTGAAAGTTTTATTGGGCAGGATGGTGGACCAACGCCAGTTTCCCAGGTAGGATCTTCGAATTAGTTATAGGTAAAAGAAATGCTATTTTTTAAATATAATTGGTTTATTTCTGCAGCATGAGCCGATGACCCAAGTGTTTTATCCTACCTCTTCTAGCAGCCCTGGGGATGCTGCTGGTGCTGGCAATCACATGTCAGAGGACGATCAGATAAAAATAGCAAAGCGCATCGGACTTGTTCAGCATCTGCCTATTGGCACCTACGATAGCACCTCGAAGAAGGCACGCGAATGTGTCATTTGCATGGTGGAGTTTTGTGTGGACGAGGCTGTACGATATCTTCCATGCATGCACATCTATCATGTCCATTGCATTGACGACTGGTTAATCCGGAGCCTCACTTGTCCCAGCTGCTTGGAGCCAGTGGATGCCGCGCTGTTAACAAGCTATGAAACAACATAGCGCACTCTACACTACTAAGAAAAGCAAAGTTTTTGTTTTATTAACGTGAGAACTACATATATAATCGAATCGAACAAATCAATGCTAACAGTTAGCATAGCGTCAGACCGTATATTATAACGTCACACTCGGGTCTTTCGATAAAAATGTCAACAATAACGGATCTGTTCTTACTGCAACCTACAAGCAAGTCGGATTACACAATTCTATCAAAGGAATGGCCAACTAAGTTTGTGTTTCCATTAAAAAGGAGCAGCATCCTACTCAGTTCGATCGGAGCAGTTCGCCTTTGCTATCAATAGGGGAGGGGGGTTTTCTTATTATTATTCCTGTTTTGTTGTAGTTAGTTTTTAATTGTTTTATATTTGTGTATCGTTGATTTTCATTAAACGAACATGAAGGATGAACATTTATGGAAAATTATATCAATGATAAAAGCGATGTACATATACATATAATTCAACAATTGTTCATATATACATATATATAATTCATTAAATGTGTAACCTTCTATACAACGTAGCTATAATTTATACAATAATAAATATAAATATTGAAACCATAAGTATTATACTTATTTAAATTGAGATTGCTAGGTTTTTTTTCATTATTTTGTCTAGTGTGTTTAAACAATAATCGCTCAAAGAAAGAGCTAAGAATTGTATATTAGATTATATATATATATATAATCTAATATACGCAAACGCGAAAGGCTCGAAAGGTACGCAATAGTGGTGGGAATATATATATGTACATACATATAAAATATACATTTTCGCGAATTATTGACTAGACTTTAATTACATCGATTAGTAGTAATGAGCTAAATGAATAATAGATAATAAAATGAAGTCTGCTCGGCTCGTATGCGTAAAATATATATATATATATATATATATATATATATATAATAAAATTAGACTCTTCAAATAAGTCAAAAAAGTTATGGTTGTTTAGTAACCTCTCATTTATTATAACGACTTATATAGCTTTAGGTTATTTTACTCATCAAAACTGGATGAAAGCAAGAAGTTAGCAGCGAGTTCCTCATCCTTTTCACATGCAAAATAAGCTTGCAAAACAAGCGCTTCCGGGAATCCAAGCGCCTTCAGCTGAAAGAATATAAGTATCATTAACCGAATATATTATTATTAATATAAAGATATTTAGATATAAATTGAGTATGCAACCTATTTTGCACACCAATACATTTAAGTATTGCAAATTGCTTTGTAAAATATTCTACGTACCCGCTCAATAGCGTCTTGATCTTGCGGGGTTAGTCGAATAGTTGCTAGGTTTTCTGCCTGTATATTTCTTCCCGTTGCAACTGAATCATCGCCTTCAGGGGCAATTGCAATCGACGGATTATCGGAGCCAGCAACAGAACGGTGACCTCCTGCATTTGACTCTTCACTGGGGTTGGTTGTGGGCGTGCTCTCTGTTCGTCTTGGACTCGACGACTGTGTCCGACCTGCACGTTGAGCATTATCGGCTGCCTCCTCATCAAGAGGCTGGTTTAACATATTTAGAAACGCATCTTGGTTCTCAGAAATAAGTTGTAAAAGAGCTGGGTTTGTTTGTCCAATCTAAATTAAGATAATAAAAATCAGAGTTGCATAAGTTATTAAGTGTTCAATACCTGTTGCAGAACAGCATGTAAAAGATGGGGATTTTGGTATATTAGAGAGCGCATCTGTAGGAATTGTGGCTGACTGCGTAGAAACTCGAATGGATCTAAAATATATAATCATAGATATTACCGCATCATATATAAATATTATTTTTTTTACCAGCTGCCGATTCGGCCGGCAAACCACCCTGACGATGACTCGTTTCCACTCTGTTCGGTTCTTCCTCATCACCTGGATTAAATAAATTCTCATCCTGCGGTATGCCGTTTATTAAATATTCGACAGCACGTTCGGGATTATTAAAGCTAGCTGCCATTGCTCGCTCAACCTGATCTCGGGGATAGCCCATTTCGACCATTGATGCAACGGTTCTATTGAACTCCTCGCCCATAAGTAAATTGGATTCGGCGCGCGATTGTAGTGAGGCATTGGCTAATTCACCAACCAAGTCAATACTAGAATAATCAGTAGCTGGAATTGGAACTTCAGGTGCAGTCGATATTTGAGTTTGAGATGATGATCCAGATCTTTCTATCTCGACTCCTAAAACATCATTTGACCTATTATTATTATTAATTATTCCCTTCTCGGCTGAGGATGCATTCGCATTTTGTAGAACAGGCTTCTTATCAATTCCAGTTGTTGAGCCTTCCATTTGCTCGTTAGGCTGCTTTCGCTGTCCATCTGCATTTGTGTTGCTGCTAGTTCCGCTTATGTCTCGACTGAGCATCACTACAATGAACTTTTTTTCATCGACTTTGTACGAACTAATTGTTCGCTCATCTGTTAGAATGACGCCTTAAGAAAAAAAAAATGACAACATTAACAGTCATGGACATGTAAATATGTAAATAAAATTTTTGTTGACAACGAACTATTTAGTTAGGACATCGTACCAGCATAAATCAGTTTTTGTTTCTCCACAAGGTATTCTGCACCACGTTCGTAAAAGATTTGATTTTTAAGCTCCAAAACCTATAAAGCAGATAATGAAATTGTATGTATGTATGCACAAGTGTAAGCATGCATGTGTGTATGTACATATGTATGGCCCGAGAACTAATGCGTTCGCTAAGAAAATACAATTTACCGTTTTTTCTGGATCAAAGTCAATTGCGAACGTTTGCTGCTGCAGATTCTTTATTGTAATAATCATTTTACAAATTTTTATTTGGGACTAAATTGGTATTGTTAACTTTTGCCTTGGTCTCTTCTTTCTCACAAAATTGTTTGTCATCGACACTAGAGATGGTCCAAAATATATTAATATCGAATATCGAATAAAGCGATATTATTGTTTGTAATTAAAATATTAGTAATATAGATTTTAAGGATGTCCTTAAGATATGAAAAAATACTGAATGTGCGTAGTCTTAATAATAGAAGATTTTTTAGTTAATTTATGTGTTTATTATAACGGTCCTAATATAGCATCTATATAAATCTACAAAAAACATATCATTCTTTTGATTGACTCCACCGGCAGCACCTATATAACAGAGTCCGGCTCAATGTTTTTAAATACCAAAATGTGCCTGAATATGTACTGTACTTTTATATATACTGACTGATATGTTAAACATATTAATAAAACGTGATAAAATAAAAAAAAATAAATAAATAAAATAAAATTTAATTAATATGTTGATTAACTGAGTAATTGTTTTTCCATATAATTTTATATGACTTGGTATATTTATTATAAATATTACAATATAAATAGTTGCAGTCTGGCAACGCCAAAGTAACTATCAGTTGGTTATGCTAATTAACTGTTAAAGCAATTTTTTTTTGGCGCGCATGCGCCATTATCATACTCATACTGGCAGAATTATACAATACAAAATAAGTTTTTCAACCGCACCGAACAAGTGATTTACAAAATTTGAGATAGGAACGCGTACTGTAAATATGTATATTACGTTTATATATCTACAATATTTGCCTTCAAATATTTTTAATAAGGATACGGTAACGTTAACTAATATTCTTTTTTTTTACAATTAAGCAATCCAATTTCTAATCTTGAGCTAAATTTACAATGCTAACAATTAAATCAATTGTAATATATACATACATATATATGGTGTATGTGTTTATCAACAAATTCGAGTGTTAATATCAACGGTATAATATATAATATATATAGATATATAGATATATATATATATATATATATATATATTTTTTTTTTTTTTTAATATATATATATTTAAATATACATCTATGACAAACAAAATTTACTTTTAATGCCAGTTAGTTATAAGGTCCAAGGCCCGTTATATTTAACCACAAGTTTTGATTTTGTCTATCTCTATCTATCTCAGAAGCTCAACTTAAATAAATTCAACAATTTAATCTTAAAAAAACAGATAAAATGTAAGATATTTCCATTTGGCGTGGTTAACCTTTAGATAATAGTGTATTCTTCGATTTATAATTATATATTTTTAATCCGTAGTTTTCTAAGTATATATTAATAAACAGTGTTAATAATAGACTCTTTTATTTTATAATATTATAATCATTATCATTATTTGTGAGAAAGAAATCGAGTTGAATTCGGATTATATGATATATTTTGAATCTCCTGTATTCAAATTAATAGGGGAATCGTCAATTAATTTGTGATAATTCATATATAGCAAAAAATTTTTTGAAAACCTATCTAATACTGACATTTTCAATAATTAAATAAATTGCAGAAAGTTTTCTGATGTCGAGTAGGCAATAAGATGCCATATGCTCTTCTTGAATTCAAATTAAAAAAAAAGTGTACGAATGCAAAACTGAAATTCTTGGATGAGTTCAATGAGAGCAGAGCAAATATTTGTCTAGGCCTTAGTGTTTCAATAAGGTTATACCTACAACATAAAACATGACGGTAAGCAATTCGCATCAAATACAACTCACCTATATACTGAATATACATATATATTTATATATCCTTCTTTACAGCATTATGCATGGGATGAAGCATGCTATCATAATAATAAAAACGATGCCTTATCCAGTGCTGACAGCCAACAAATTAATAATAGCACCATCTATAATTATGATGAGGTGCAATCAGGTGCATATGCTACTTATGACGATGAATATGGGGTTGCGGAGGAGGAGTACTCAGCCGATGGAGAAGCTTTTGGTAGCTTTAATCAGAACTATGCGCCGTATACAACAACAGCAACAATAATAACTGAAGATAATAACCCGAATATAGCCACAGTCGGAGAGGAGTATTGGAGAAATAGTTATAGAGGTATGGAAGGTTCTGGCTACGACAATGGTTACAATTTAACGAGTGGTCCTCTAAACGATGGTTCCTCAATGCCAATTGAAGGTACGTACTCGAAAAAAGGCAATCGCGTTGGCTGCCGCTTGCCGCTTGCACCTGTTATCGATAATTCCAAATATCGTATGCTATCGCAACCGATTACCTATACCCAAAATGTTCTCAACGAACATACGGTTTATGCTGATGAGAGAATAGGAAGTTTTATCAGTTTGCCAGCGGCAGCGCCAATGCGAATGTTACCCGAACCACATCCAAGAATACGCAACAATACCTCACAACGATTATTTGAAGATAACAACAGCTTAAGCGGTATATTAACAACAACTACAACAATAACAACAACAGCAACAACCGGGACCAGGCAGAACTATGATGTCTTTAGCCAAATATCGCGACCCTATACATCAATGCTGCCCCTCGATTATGGTGAATATTCGGATTATGCTTACAACTCGGACAATTTGTCAGCATATAGCGATACACCTCCCATGAGCAATACCACACAGTTGAAGCTACAGCAACAGCGCAAAATTTCACTTATGTTGGCAATGACAACAGCATCTGTGATAGCATCTGGAGAGACTAGGATACCCGTACAGCAGCAGCAGCAACAGTACTACAACACGACTAGACGCA